AAATAGTAGATGTCACTGATGAACCAGAATAATTCATGAAAACAAAAGACAATGCACAAGCTACACAACGTTATTAAAACCTCGAGGAAGGAGGGATTGATTTTGTTAAAAATGTCTCACCGACAAGGAAAGAMATAAAGAGTTGGTATAGTTTTTTGTTAAAAGCAGAGGAAAGATGTTTGGACGGGCTAGAACTTKTGTTAAWTGTAGGCTTMATGGCAKTCGAGTTAACTGAAGAKGGCATTAAATGAATTGATGTCCTATATGTGCAAAAACAGAAAGTTTGGTTACATAACATTTCAAAACCAAATAAATATGGATTGCGTTCACATGWAATAAAGTTGTGCTTTAGTCAAAGTTGTTTRTTGCTTGCCTTTTACTYTCATGAATTGTTCTGTTCAGTGATATCTAATATTAGTCAGTAAATAGACASTAATAGTTACTGTTTATTTTGTTTATATTTCACGCAGTACAAGTGCTTTGACTCCATTATTAGCTGAAAGTTGATATGCGTACATTGAAAATTAATCATTCTGAAAACACATTGCTGGAAGAATAAGTAAAGTCATTGTATTCTATTCTATTCTCCTTGTTCAAAACTCACCAATCATCTTCCAAGATTGCTTTACAAGATGAAGCTGGATTATGAAGACTTCCTAACTTGGCGTTCATTGACACAAAACGGGAACCATCGCAAATCTCCATAGCTCCATTTCTGTAAACTARAACACCTTTGTTGGCTTTAGTGCATCTTTGATTTTTTGCGGTATTAAGCTTAAGACTCAGAAGAGCTCCATTAATCTGCGCTAGACCGTTGATCCGCACACGGCCACCTCTTCCTGGCTCAAGAACCACATCTTTGCCTTTATCAGACCGAAGCTGGACCTCGCCATGTTTGTATGTCAGAGAAGCTCTTCTGTAATAAAAAAAACGTTCATGAGSAATCATTGTATACATGGTTTGTAGCAAAACATTGTAGATTAAGGTGTTTCGATCGTAATAACTAGCGCTTCGCGCGTATTTTAAAACTCCAAGTACGTCGCAAATTTCGATTCCATTGAACTCATATTTTCACAGAAGTAACAGCGATTATCGATAATTCTTGTTGATAAATTAATTTACCAAAAAGCGAAACGATGCAAAATAAAAACACCTTCATTTTTCTTCAAAATTAATTTTCTCGAAACTCATAGCAGAGATTGTAATAAAATTTTCAGAATCATTTCTTAATAACATAATTGATRTACTGACGAAGTTTCAATAAAATCTTAACCTAAAATTTCGTTGAATGTAATTATTATTTTTTTAATTTAAAGTTGATTTTCACGCCACACCTCACAAACATGTAATTCGGTGAATTGTGTTCGGCGTCTTGGCTGAAACTTACTTTGTCAAAGCTTCATTGCGTCGAATCAATGCGAATAAAACAATAATCCAGATCCTCATATTTGGTTTCCACCTTCTCTAAACAGTCGCAATGCTATAAAAAAAGAATGAAAAAAAAGGAATGAAAAAAAGAAGCATATTTTTTGATTATGAGTCCTTAGGGTTCGTCCTCGGCTCGCACATGAAACTTTAAGGACGGCGAAATATTTAACGGGTGGGGGGGGGGGGGGGGGGGG